GCTGCAGCAGCAGCAGCAGCAGGAGCTTTTGCATACAAGGATGAGAAGAATAAAAAGGTCATATGCAGAGGGGATTAAAAGGGAGACAGAGAAAAGGAGACAAACAATAGGAGCAAGGAGACGCAGAGAAAAGAAAACTAGCAACAGAGACAAGGCAGCGGCAATGTCTCTGGCTGGCTGTGCGGGCTCGCTTCTCTGTTTTCTCGGTGCCGAGCCAGCACAGCCGAAAAAAAAAAGGAGACAAAGACAACGCGAGATAAAAAAACGGAGACAGAGAGGAGTAGCATAGACAGAAAGAGATAGAAGTAGACAGAGAAGACTAAACCCTAAACCCTAAACCCTAAACTGAGACACAGAGAAACCACCTGGTCCCCTTACAGACAACAGGAGACAGCTAACACCGCCATTCGATTCAACAAACCCTAAACCCTAAACCCTAAACCCTAGTAAAGCACTTGCCTATGGCCATCGATGCCTGCTCGAGAGCCTCTTGCTGAGCTTCCTTGGCCGTCTTCTTCTTGAATTTTCTTCAGTCTGCAGCACACAAACCCTAAACCCTAAACCCTAAACCCTCACGAAAGGCAAGGAACCCGCAGGGGTCGATGTGAGGGGGCGAGGGAACAGAGTGTAAACCCTAAACCCTAATTACTATCTCCACGAATAAGCCTTGCTACGTGGGTCTTTAGGGTTTAGAGCCTAGGGTTTAGGGTCTTTTAATATACTAACAATATTTAAGTATATGTTTGTAAACCCTAAACCCTTAGATAAGTATTAAATATATCTCTGCAACACATAGCTGAAGAACTCCTCGTTATGTACGTTATGCTCTTATCCAGCTTGGGGAGCACCACCTGCGACCCAAACCCTAAACCCTAAACCCTAAAACCCTAAACCCTAAACCCTAATACCAGTCCCTTGGGGCCAAACCACTACTACCACTCATCAGCCGCTCACTCTTCAAAAGACTCCGCAAACCACCCAACTCCGTCGCGGAGAAAACCTAAACCCTAAACCCTAAACCCTTATCAAAGCGAAGTGCTGAGTATACCGCTAAACAATATAAGATGTCCCCGGTTCTTCTCATTGGGGGGCTTGAAGCCGAGGCGTACGCACCAACAGCCATCATTTTTCTTCATCTTCACCGCCAACACCACCAACACCAGATTGCCCCCAAAGGCTCTAGCTGACGGCTGAGCTTTGCCTTTTCTTAGAAGTTTATCCTCCTGCGGCTCAATCTCCTCTTCAAGATATAGCCGTTGCCCGTACCTTGGAGCGAAGCTTGGAGCTGCGCAGGGGATGCGTGCGGTGGTGCTGTGCGCTCAGCAGCCAGCGGATACCCTGCCCGCCTGTAGCTCTTTGTTACTGTGTACACCTGAGAACTTTTGTTTGCCCGCTGCTGCTGTTCCTCGGGTGTTAACTGGATCGACTTCACCAACACTGAGGTCTTTACCAGACAGACCTTCATGACGGAGCAGATGCATATCACCGCCGCTCCCTTCAGTGCCTCTGCACCGCATGGGAGCCTGAGCGCTCCGCTTTCTATGGGACCCAGTTTCTCCTCCTCTGAGCATAGAAAATGAAATACCGTTGGGGGCGCTGGGAGTCGCACAGTCTCATCACTTCGTGCTGGGGAGAGATATATGGAGTCACCAGAGGAACATATCTGCGGCGTTTGCTGCATCACCCACGGCATGCTTGAGAGTATCTCGGGGTGATCTGCTCCAAGGTAGAACTCCGTCGTCATATTAA